ATGCCTATGAAACAGAAAGTGGGGCCTCATCAGATACTGAATCTGCCTGCACCTTTGTCTTGGACTTCCCAGTTCTCTGGAAGTGTGAAAAATAGATGTCCATGGTCTATGGTATTCTGTTCATTGGAAAAGACCCTGGTGTTGGGAAAGATAGAAGGCAAGGGAGAAGGGGACACCAGAGGATGCAATGGTTGGATGGCATCACTGACTCAGTGGACATGAACTTGGGCAAACTCCGGGGGATGGTGAGGGACAGGGAGGCCTGGCATGCTGCAGTCCATTGGATCGAGAAGAGTCGGGCACAGCTTAGTGACTGAACAACAACAGCAACTGACAACAGCAGTAACATGCTGTTAGAGCAGCCAAAACACGCAGAGACAACGTGCCCGCTGAATCCTCCACATGTCCCCAGGAGGAAGTTTGGACCAGTACTTCCATTTCACAGGGAGAACACTGAGGCCCTAAGATTTGAAGCCAGAAAATCTGACCTCCCACCGAGCAGATGTCTGCATTATCTGCCCCACTAGCATGACCTGATGTTGATGAAATAAGAAGCAGAGGAATGTCGGTAGGTAGCGTATTTTCATTGCAAAGACAGACCATGGAAGAATGAGATGGTACCTGTCAAGCATCTAGATGAGCCTGGGAAGAAGTGGGCAGGCAGGCAGATGAAACCTCATCATCCACTGCCAAGCCTCAGATGTTTGAAGCTCAGCATCCAATTTGGAATCAGGGAGGGAAACAATGAAAAAGGAAATCTTGACGAGGGTGAGGGGAGAGGGGAGAGGGCTGTGTTCTCATCACAGGTTCTCCCTGCACTGGGATTCGTTCCTATGCACAAGTATTGCTTTGACTAAGAGACTCTCTCAGCAGGGAGGGACAGGGCTGCTAGAAGTCGCAGTGTCAGTGGACAAAACTGTGGATCTGAGTGGCTGAGGAAAAGGACAGCTTATCTTCCCCAGGGCACCGTCGATGAGCTCTCTTGAGGCAAACACGATTTCCATCTATGTGCTCTTCCTTACCTCACCTTCACAAGGTCACTGGACCAAGGTCATCTTTATGAAGGTATTGAATGGATGATGCTCCAACAGCCCATGGGCTAAGGTATCACCCCCCTCTCATACCACAAACTCACCAATATCCACTCTTCTGAAACTACCCCAATTCCTGTGATCACAGGACTAGCCACCTTTGGTCTTCCTAATCTTAGTAAGACAGACACCTGTCGGTTGCTTCCCTAGCATTCATACACCCTAACCCAACAGACTTCACCTCTCAAGTGATCTATGCAGGTCTATCCTGGGGTCTATGCAGGTCCCAGGAACCCAACTCCATTCCTGGGTCCAGGGAGAATGCACATGATGTAAGCTAAGCCAATGAGTGTGTTTCCCATCACTTTGCCAAGTGAATGGTCCCAAGGTGGGCTCGTTAACCAATCCACCTAATTAACGCAAACTCAGAAGCTTTGCTTGGAGTGTTGGAACAAGAGCCTCTCTTTCTTCCTCAATGGGTGTGACCAAGGAAGCATGGAGCCCGGGGGAGCAGACATCTGGGACCTGCTGGAGGCAGAACTGAGAGATGAAAACATGCTTGCATGCACACATGCATGTTTGTGACCATGGTTTTTTTGCATTGGAAGGTTCTGATTGCAGAACATGCAGGCCCTCCCCAGGAAAAGTGGCCAGCAGATGGCTCCAACTCAGCCTGATCCTCCAAAGCTGGGCCGCTCCTAGATCCATTCTCTCTGTTCAAGGACAACAGGAGTCATTTAGAGAGGCCGGAGCAGACAGGTCTGCTGTTGCAGCCAAGCTCTTAGGAAGCCAGACTACCGGTGCCCTGGCAAGCAGAGGCCAAGGGCTCCAAGGCAAATCCCAGCCCTCTCCAGAGGTGGAGAGACAAGATGTCTTCATTCCCTGCTTCATTTCTGCATCCTCTGGTCACATCCCACCCAGGAGGGAGGAGAGGCATGGACATTTTTGCAGAGCACCCCCACCCCTCTCCAGGGTGACTGAGCCCTTAAGCCTGCAGAGCTCATAAAAGTCCACACTCAAGTGCTTGCTGGGCACTGACAAGTTCACAGGCATTTGTGGAACTCATGGGAGCCAGAGTACAGCGAAATCCCCAGGGCACCTTTCCAAGAACTGAGGTTCTGCCCAAGAGAGGGAAAAATCTGGAGAAAAGCAAGTTTGCACTTGGTGTCGTGAAGTCTAGTGGCTCCCACCCAAGGGCAGTGAGAAGATGCTGCAAAAGTTCACAAAGTCGCTTCAGTCGTGTCCAGCTATTTGTGACCCTATGGCCCATAGCCTGTCAGAATCCTCTGTCGATGGGGATTCTCCAGGCGAGAATACTGGAGTGGGTTGCCATGCCCTCTTCCAGGCGGCCTTCCCCATCCAGGGATCAAACTCGTGTCTCACATTTCCTGCATTTGCAGGTTCAGCACTACCTCCACCTGGAAAGCCTGCTATAAAAGTTTGCAAGCCTCTGCTTCAGGCTGTGACCTATGAGAAACCCAGGAGGGGGTGGGGAAGGATCATTCTGGTGCTCGTAGGTAGTCTCACTGAGGGGCTCTGTTCCTGCAGCCTGGACACCCAGGTGCAGAGGGTGTGGCTCGCAGTGCAGCTGTCTGCAGGGGCACCACCTGGGGTCCCCAGAGCTCCCCCTGCAGGACTGGTAGCTCTCCAGTGCTTGCCAGGTGAGAGAAGGGACCTCTGTTGCCTGATGCATTTCACTTGGCCATCAAAGACAGCCTCACTCGTGTTTCATAGGCGACTCTGGGGTCCCGCAAGGAGAAACAGAGCAGGATTGAAAGAAACAAGAGCCTCAGGAACACACAATCTCCCAAGGAAGGACCAGCAGAGAACCTGGAAGTCTCTGTCGAGAGCATCAGACTCCCAGTCTCCATATTTGGAGATTCAATCTGCCGTCAGTATTTAATGGGTTAGAAAAATAAAAAGGCTATGTGTTGAATGGAAAATTCAAATGCTCCAAGTGTGGAACAAGTCACACTTATAAAGAACATAGGTATCCCTGTTACTGATCAGTGCTTGGGTGTTAGCACCTTGCCTTATCCAGGAAGGGTAGAAAGTCCTCAGTAGAGTCAGACTGGCATTATTATTACTAAAGGAATTCATCATCTGTGTAAAAGATTTCTCATACCTTCATATATGACCCGGAAGTAATATCCTAACACATTTAAAAAACTATTTCCTGTGAAGGGTTTTGTGGATTTTGAACTCTCTTATTAAAGATATGAAATGTGTAACACTTTCCAAGATTGTAAGAGTGACTGATTGGCATAAGGAAAGACAGAAATTAAGCCACCAAATTTAAATCTTAAAAACTTTATACAATTGTCAGATGGGATTGAAAATCAAGTGTCTCTGTTTATTAGCAGCAACCATCAACTCACTTCCTCTAGTTGGATCTACAGGTCTTTGTGAGGTGTCATTTTCACCTATGATCACCATGAAAAAAGTGTTCAAATAAACAGTTTAGAAGTGGACCTTCAAGTCACATTACGCATGAAGCCAAAAATTTCAAAAAACAGTATGGTCTACTTATTGTCCACAAAGGTACAAAGGTATTCCAGTAGAGAAAGGAGTCTTTTCGAGAAATGGTGCTGTAAAAAGAAAGAAAGAAATGCTGCTATAAAAACTGGATATCTATATGCAAAAAAGATGAATCTCAATTCATGACTTACACCATATTAAAAAAAAACTGACAATGGAACACAAACTTAACTTCTAAAAGAAAACATAGAAGAAAATCTTGGATTGGGGAAGATATCTTACATACAAATGAAATGCACAATTCACTGAGGGGAAAAAATGATGAATTGGACTTCTTCAGAACTAGAAACTTTTACTCTTTGAGAGACATTGTTAAGAAAACAAGAAGACAAACCTCAGACTGGGAGAAAATATTCACAAAGCACATATCATATCTGCTTAAGGACTCATATCTGGAGTACTTAAAAAACTCTCAAAACTTAATAATACAAAGACAAAGAGCCCAATTCAAAAAAAGGCAAGAGATTTGAAAAGACACTTCACTGAAAAAGATTTACAATGGCAAGTAAACACACAAAAAGAGATGTTCAACATTATTAATTATTAGGGAAATGTAAATTAAGACCACAACATGATATCACAACACAGATATTAGAATGGCTAGAATTTTTTCTATTCTGACAATAGCAGAATGTTGGTGAGAATGTGGAACTCTCCCACATGCTGGTGGAGATGCAAAATGGTACAGCCACGCTGAAAGACAGTGTGGAACTTGAGCATATGTATTTATTACACAATCCATACTGGCTACGTGTGTTCCCACAAAAACGTGTATGTGAGTGTTTACCATAGCTTTATTCATCATTATCCAAAACTGGAAACATCTCAAATGTCCCTTCACTGAGAACAGAGAGAAGAAATCGTGGTATGTCCACAGATGGACTACTATTCAGCAATAAAAAGGAACAGCCCATAAGTGCATACAACATAGATGACTGACTTTTAAATGCATTACGGTAATTCAGGGAAGCCAGACTCAAAAGGCTACATACCCTCTAATTTCATTCATAGAACATTCTGAAAGGCAAAATTACAGGGAAAGGTAACAGATTCTTAGTTTCCAGAGACCAAGGGGAGGGGAGCGCTTGATCACAAAGGAACATAAAGGAATGTTCGCGGCTACGGGAATTCATGGCTACACATCTTAACTGGGGTGCTGGTTGCAGCCCTGTACACAATTACCAAAGCTCACAGGACCCTCTAAGAACAGGGGTAAATTTTATTGTATGCAAATTCTACCCTCAATTTTTAAAAAAAGGATATAATCAGATAAAAAAAGGAAATAGTCCATCAGAGTGACTGCATTAAAATATATATTTGCAACCGGAATATAACCAATGTATTATCAATAAAGGTGGCATATGATCAGATCAGGGTGCTAATGCCAAGTCAAATTTTAGCAGTCCTTGAGTTATTTTCAAAACAGTTTACCCTGCAGTTGTACCGTGTGATCTCCTCAGAGATTTTCTTCCTTCTAACAGGAGCAAATGTTGAAGGCAGGTGGGTTTTGCACTTGGAGGTGGTGGGCAGGGGCGGGGGGTGGTGGTGATGGCCCGGAGCATCACCTTCAGTGTGGCTCATGCCGTGGTTTGTCTGAGATGGGGAGAGCAGGAGAGAAGGGGGCGTCTTCACCTGCCAACATCCTGAAGGTTGTCCATGGGGCCAAGAGAGACTCACTGAGGTCCCAGGATTGGTGACACTTCGGGGGGTGGGGGTGTCAGGTGCAAAGGTGGGAGCAGAGGGAGCAGGCAGAAGGGATGGGGACCCTTACAGAGGAGAGAACACAGCTGAGGCATGTTGGGGGATGGATGGAGACTACCAGAGGGATGCCACTCAGCAGCCCGCCCCGGGCTGTCTACTCCTTCCTTGGTATTCTGTGAGCAGAGCTGGTAAAGAGTTGAGATCTAGCTACGAGGAGCTGGTTCCCCCCCACCAGGGAGCAGCCTGGCCCAGGAGCAAATAACCTCGTGACCCTTTCACTCCAACTAAGAGGGGTCACCAGGCCCTTTGACCTCCATGTAGCTTGATCAAAGACAAACAAACTCTCCTGTTTGTTTAGGGAAAGGTCTGCAAAGCCCAGAGTCCTGGGAGAGACATCCCTCCTCCCACCCCAGATTCCCCTAGAATCTAGAGAAACAGATTCCCCTCCCACCCCAGTGCCCAAGTGGGGGGCAGGCACTGGCAGAGCCTGCCGGAGGAAGCCCAGATCTCTCTTGGTCAGCGCTCTGGGCCCACCATCTCCAAACACAGGCGTCTTGCTTTTATTAAGTGGAGGCTGGAGCCAGGGAAGACACGTCTCTGGAACAACAGACTTTTGTCTTAACCAACCACTTCTGACTCCAGGGAGGGTTGTAAAGACAGGGTCCTGCTAATCTCTTTATGGGCAGATTCTCATCTCGGTGGGACCCTCTGGGGCAGGGTTGGGGGGATGCTCTGAAACATTCAGAAAGCCGTAATCAACCTATATATGAGGTTCGGGCCACCAATAAGTGTCTCTACTGCAACGATGACCCACCCTTTTGGGCTCTTGACTGGCTGATACAGTTGTCTGTCACCAACCCAAGGAGCCAATAGGATGGCAGTCTGTGGTCCAGGTGTGACTGCCTTGGCTGACGGCTCCTGGAACAAATGCCCAGGACTCTGTTCACAGGACTGTGTACAATGTAGTGTCCACACACGTTGTTGTGACTCTGATTCTTGGTGGAAGGAAAGTGCACATTCCCTGACCAATGCAGCAAGTGACGTGGTTCCTGTGAGGTCTTGGGATGCACAGGTGGTCTCACTGGCCCCAACCCTCAGGGAAGGATCCACTTCCTTCAAGGATGAGGTCTCCCTCCCCGCAGAGGGACTGGACAAGACACCTCCTATTTGCAGAGTGTTTGCATTCACAGTTGGGCAAAGAGGGACTGAACCAGCTCCTCCAACACAGCCTCCTTTCTGGGGGGCCAAGGCCAGGGGAGTCCAGGCGGGAGAGCCCTCAAGCCGGCCTCATGGGTGTAGAGACATGGCTTCTATTTGGACAAGCAGCCTCAGCACCAGGAAAAGCACAGCGTTTCTGTTGCCCCGCCCTTCATAGCAGCATCTGTCCATTCCCGTCCTCTGCAGTTTACCTTTCAAAACCCAGGGGAGGCACTCATGGAAACCCTACTGATCTGGGCTCCGGGGGCACTCTGACTCAGCCCCAGTAAGCCTGTGGCCTTGGGCAAATCCTCGCATCTCCCTGAGCCTTTTCCATGAGGAGAGGGGGGTTAGGCTAGATGGTTTCCATGGTGTCTTCCAGTTCTCCGTGCATCCATGTCTTAATATCTCTCTGTACATCCTCCCCGAGTCCACATCTGGGAGAGAACAGTACGCATGCTCGTGTTTTCCAAAGGGACTTTCTCTCCATCCCTGGCATCCTTTTCATTGCTATTTCCTACTTGTATCTCCTGGCTTCCACTGGAGGAAGAACTGCTTAACCTCATTGTATAGCACAGCGATTATTAGCTACACTTTGGCCATAGAAGAAATTCCAGCCATAAATAATAATGATGATGATGGAAGTGACAGATGCAACCCCCTCCCTGTGTCAAAGCGCTGGCTGTTGCTTTTTTTTCTTTTTTTTTTCACTCCACTCTGTGCCAAAGGCCTTCAGAAAAGAAGTTAATTAATATCCCTTGCTGTGGACTAATTCTCGTTTCAACATGTGGCTGTCATTTCCCTGTCATCATAGCTGATTTACAACAGGGTTTAATTAAATTCTCAGTACATTATTCAGCATTCTCCAAAGACAACACCAGAGAGGCCGGGGGTATTTAAAATGTCACCTGCTGAGACATATCACCTCTTCTTAAATAAATATGACAGTGATCAAACTTTGGCTAATTACAGTGACTTAGTTATTTGTTTGTATGTTTTAATATTTAATTGCTTTCATGTTCATCCAATTATCGAGCAATAGCAAACAGAAATTAACTTTTTATCAGCGCGTTCCCAGCCCAGAATAACCGCCCCAGAGCCTCAGTACAAGGGCAGCCACCCAGACTGAGAGGATGGCGGTCTTGGTCTCAGCTCAGTGCACGAGTCGATTAAATTAAGGGACAACCCTGCCCGCTTCTGCCCCAGCTCACAGCCTGCCTGCCTTCAGGAGCATCCAACTCAAGACCTCAGGTTCTTTCCTGAACATAATCGGGGATTTGGTTCCACACTGCCACCCCATGGCCACTCAGCGCAATTGCCCCATCTCCTTCAGATGCTTCGATTCCCGGGGAGGAGGGGAAAGATAACCACTGGGGACACACACCTAAGCCGGTGTCCTCGGGCTCTCACACGGGCAACCTGCGTTCTCCTCACCACGGGAGCGCTGTCTTCATGCTCCGCCAGCTTTGAGGGCCTTCTCCTCCTCGTTAGACATTCCAACATCTTCTGCCGAGTTCCGGGGACAAAGGCAACACCCGACAACGTGTCAACTGTGCCCTTTATACCGCAAATTCCAGCAACCAGATATACTGGCAGCTAAGAGACAGGGGCCAGGATGTGCTTATCACTAGCAAGGTTCTACCAAACCCTTAGCCAGACCCCAATGCGGCCCAGCCCCCCTGGCATTATCTCCAAAGTTCCCACCAGCTCCCTGCAACACAGCATTTGACACTTCGACATTTACTTTTCTCCCAAGCCTAACCTCAGCATCTCAGAACCTCTGCAGTATATATATATATGTATATAATGGATGGAAAATTAAGCCCTTTCTGGAACTCTTCAGTGATTCCAAATTGGATAAGTAAGCATGGTCTACCTCAGGCCTAACCCCACAGTCTCATGGGATGCTGGCTTAAAACGTTCAACCTTCCAAAAATAAAAATAATCTTTCCAAGGACTTACATCTTATCTCCCCAGCTCAGCTGTAAGCTCCTTAAGGGGAGGGCCCAGAAACTAGCAGAGAGACAAAGTCACGGTAAGAGTGAAAGAAAGGACGAACTGGTCTTCCACTGAATGGCCCACTCTCCTTTGCAGAGTGTCTAGCTCATGAGGGGGCAGACGGGTGTCATGTAAAGAAATGTGTGTGTTCATTGAGCAAATAATGCCTACTATGCACTGGGTGTTGGCTGTATAACGGTGACAATTCGATGCAAGTCCCTGTCCTTGGTGCTGGAGTCTGGAGTGAGCATGAATTATTATGAGTGATTGAAGTATTGTTGGGGGGAGGCCACAGGAGTGTAGCCAAATGAGGTGACCCAGTCTGAGTAGCCAACAAAAGCTTCCTAGGGATGCCACGTGTGAGCTGACAACTGGGGAGAGAAAAAGAACCTTTTTCATTTAGCAAAGAATAGGATATCTTCTGGAAATTTTTTCCTGGGGGCCCAGAGTTTATGCAAATGAACCCAGTCCAGAAGGAAGAATTCTAATTGGTCCCAGCTGGTGCTTCCCTGGTCGGGTCAGCACAACAGTGCGGCACCTGTGTGAGCATCTCCTTCAGGGTCCCCGAGGCCAGCGCTCACTGTCACACCCACTCTCTTCAGATCCGGGGGACTTTTACATGCACATCCAGTCCTTATTCCCTTTCCCCACAAACTAATTCCCTTTGACAGGCAAGTCCTTGGAGAAAGTGACAAGGCTTTAAATCCCATGGCTTGGCCAAGAACCACTGAGAAGCCAGGACTGGGAGCGGACAGAGAATGCAGAGCAGTGGCTGAAACAAGGCTGGGCATCAGGGTGGGTGTGGGCCTCAGGTCCCCGCGACTGCACTTGTTTGTAAGCACCCAGTTACCGCTCAAGGTCAAATACGGGCTCCAGGAGTCTAGAAACTCTAGCTGGCCTTGTCCAGACTCTGCATGGTCCAGATGATAATGTCCACTGGCCTGGGGTGCGTGACTTTTTTGGAAGACAGCACAGTGTGGCAGAAGGGACCAGTTGTCCAAGGGGTTGGGCTTCAATCCCAGTTCTACCACTTCCCAGCTATGTTATCTTGGGCATAAATTTAAAATAGACCTCAGTTTCCCCATCTGTAAAATGGGAATAATTTGAGGAGTAAATGTATAGGGCTGCAGGAGGATTAAAAGAGATAAACCATGTAGAGTACCATGTAGCACCTAGGACCAGTACTAGTTCTTTTAATCACACCAACCATCTTGTGGGGTGGCTATCATTCCCATTTCAAGGTGAGCAATCTGAGCACAGATCAGGCAGCTATGCAGTGCAGCTATGAACTTTCTCCAAACCCAGACATGACACAACCTCAGATGTGCCCACTTGCTATAGTATACACCACTGGCTCTTAATTGTAGTTCTGCTATGGATCGCTTTGACTTCTAGTGAAGCCTATTGTTGTTCAGTTGCTAAGTCGTGTCTGACTCGTCGATACCCCATGGACTGCAGCACGCCAAGCTTCCCCATCCTTCACTATCTCCAGGAGCCTGTTCAAACTCACGCCCATGGAGTTGGTGGTGCTCTCCAACCATCTCATCCTCTGTCACCCCCTCCTCATTTTGACCTCGGTCTTTCCTAGCACCAGGGACACTTTTCCAATGTGTCACCTCTTTGCACCACGTGGCCAAAGTACTGGAGCTTCAGTTTCAGCATCAGTCCTTCCAGTGAATATTCAGGGTTGTTTTCCTGTAGGACTGACTGATTTGATCTACTTGCAGTCCAGGAGTCTTTTCCATCACCACAATTCAAAAGCATCAGTTCTTTGGCACTCATGAAGCCTACGGGTGTGTGCGTGCTAAGTCGCTTCAGTCGTGTCTGACTCTTTGGAGCCCTATAGACTGTAGCCTGCCAGGCTCCTCTGTCCATGGGATTCTCCAGGCAAGAATACTGGAGTGGGTTGCCATGCCTTCCTCCAGGGGAAATTCTCGACCCATGGTTTGAAACTGCATCTCCTATGACTCCTGCATTGCAGGCGGATTCTATATGGCTGAGCCACCATGGGAGCCCAAGAATACTGGCGTGGGCAGACTATCCCTTCTCCAAGGGAATCTTCTTGACCCAGGAATTGAACCAGGGTCTCCTGCGTTGCAAGTGGATTCTTTACCACCTGGGCTACCAGGGAAGACTCATGAAGCCTATGGACCCATTTAAAAGTATATAATGAAATACACAGAATTAGAGACTTCCCTGGCAGTCTGTGGTTAGGACTCCAAGCTTCCACTGCCAGGGGAGCAGGTTCCAATCTCTGGTCTGGGAATTAAGATCCTACATGTCATGTGGTGTAGTCAAAAAATTAAATAAAAACATAGGATTATAATGGTAACCAATGATACTGAACACCAGTGCTTAAGACACATTTTTCAAGAGCAAGCAATAATAATATGTGCTTCTTTATTCATGCACTAAATAAAGCATAGTTGCTGATTTAAACCCACCATAATGTCTAAGTCATGATAAGTGTTAAGAGTATTTTGAAGTATCTGCAACAATTTTAATGTAGTGAAGAAATAGCTGTGAACACCACGGGGCTGTGTTGATTCCATTTACTATTGGAGGAAGCGCTCAATTTCAATAGAAGTTTCCTGAAACTAAAAGCTGTGAATTTGCCTCACTCAAGGTCCTGGACTTCCTGAATTCACTCCGCAGACCCTAACAGGTCGTGACCTCGGGTCTCTCTCACTTCTCAGGAAGTGCCAGCTACTGTTCTCTGGGACATGGATTCGCCTTGAACATCTGTGAAGACTGATGACTCACTTCCTCAGGGAGCTAACATCCACGTATGCAGATATAATGTTGGCCAGACAATTGCAGGTGGTCTCCAGACGCTCGCAAGTCCCCCTCGGATCCCAGAACTAAGAACCTTCCTTCCTAAACAGATGTCAGAGTCTTTATCCATTCAGCAGTTTCCTTCAAGAGGAAAATTATCGTGCCATCCCCAAATGTAAACAGTCCTTTGGAAAAAAAAGAAAAAGACAAAGCAATGAGGAAAATTGACCACGGGCTTCCCAGGTATTGTAGTGGTAATGAATCCGCCTGCCAGTGCAGGAGATGCAGGTGACATGGATTTGACCCCTGGGTCAGGAAGATCCCCTGGAGTAGGAAACGGCAACGCACTCCAGCGTTCTTCCCTGGAGAATCCCATGGAAAGAGGAGCCTGGCGATTTGCAGTCCATGGAATCGCAAGGTGTCAGACACAACTGAGTGATTAACACTTTCTTTTTTTTCTTTCACTTTGCATAGTGTTTTCGAGGTCCGTCCATGTTGTAGCATGTGTCGGTATATTATTTCTTTTTAGGGCTGAATGACATTCCATTGTGTGTGTCTACCACAATGTGTTGATCCACTGACAGCTCCACATCAGCTTACAGGACAATCTAAGCCGTCCCTGACTTGTCTTCTGATACACCTTACCCCTGACTTGAAGCTCCCATGTTTTGAAACATCCTATGTTTGCTGTTCCACTCCTCTCTGCCTTTGCACTGTTCCCTCAGCCTGCATTTGCCCAGCCAAACCCCCTTGCCTAACTGAGCGACTAAGCACATGCACACATAGAATTGACCATTCAGAAAGAAAACATTTTTCTTAGCCATCCCAGTCAGCAGGCAGCTTTGACCTATCACATCCCATTTCCAGGTCTGATTACTTCACAGAATCCAGTTTGGAACAAGACATGGGGGCGAGGCCAGCAGAGAGATGGAGGTGGGGCTGGGAGGGACACAGAATGGGGGTGCTGATTACACTAATTACCAATAACGGCCCAAACCAGGAACCCGACCAAAAGTCAACTCATTTTTAAAGCAGTATAATAATGTTTAGGATAAGGAATTAATTTTTATAGCCACTGGAGCAGTGGAATTTCCACTGCAATACAGATTTATTACAAATTACATTTTCCCCTTAAGTGGTTAACATAAAGACAAAGCAGAAAGGACTCCTTGGCCAGAGCCCCCTCGGGCTCGACTGGAGACCAAGGGTGGGTGTTAGAGGGGCAGCCACCCCCACCCCAGACTGCCCTCCCCGAATGGCAGATGCCTCCCACCCAGCTCAGCACCTCTCATTCCAGGGGGATGTGAGTAGCATCCTCTAAGCTTCCTGTGGAGACCAGGGCACCGTGCAGACCCCCAGCTGCCTGGTTGACACCCTGGAAGGGGAACAGCAATGCAGAGTTGGGGAAGTGAGTGGTATGGTTCCTCAGGCTCCAATTTTCAGTCCTAGGAATTCTGCTTTCAGAGCATAATTTTTGGTTCACTCTCTACCCGCAAACTCCCTGCCTTTTCAGACTAACCGTTGTCAGGTGGGGCAACTATGGAGACCCTGAGGTCCTCGGGTGGGCAGACTTCCCTACCCTCCATCTGAGACAACCAAGCCACAAGTTTCCTGGGAGAATCCCAGGCAAGGTTTGGGGTCTGTGCCCCCTCCCGTCTGTCCAGCTCCCCCTCCAGCCTCCCTGCTAATCGCGGCTGTGCGCCATCAGCAGAGCAGCGCTGAGAGGCAGC